ATTTATATGTATATATATTCAGATAAATTCATATATATATATATATATATATATGTTTATCTATATAGACAAATATATATAACTGTACATGCATATATAATGTATAGCTGCACATATTTTATGTATGTACATATGCATATACATGTATATATATATATATATAAATGCATATAAATATATATATATATATCCCTATACATATATTTATTGATATATATTGTGTAGATTTATAGTACAAATAGCAGCAAAGTGCATGCTATAACTAAATGACTGCATGGTGGAGCTACCGGCAGCAGCAATAATATTTTTTTTTTTGTTTTTCTGTGAGCGACAGCTTCCTATGACCCCCTACTGATAATACTAAGACTGAATTTATTGTTAGTTGTGCATATAAAGGCGAATTATGCAGAAACACCTTTCCTTTTCAGTCCTTGCTCTTCTATCATGAAGTATAATTTAAGGGTATAAGGTGGAGGGTTTAGGGTTTAGGGTTTATAACTACAAGATAAAACTAATGAGGGCAAGTTAAGCGTAGACTGCAGCATAATATGTATATAGCTCGCTCTCTTTGAAGTCGGTGTTCTATTTAATTTAATTTTTCTTCCATCTAGGATGTCCCCTAAAGGCAAAGGAAATATCTACAAACTCTCTACTATGCGACTGCAACCACCAAGGCGAATCCACGCATGCTTCAAGGTGGGTCTCTCTTAGCAGGAGCTGCAGCAAGTTTTGCTGCAGCTCATGAAAGTCTCTCTTCACCAGCCCCAGGCCTTCGTGTCGCTGTACCTAAGACGCCTTGAGAGTTGAAGGGGGAAACGTGTTGCTGTTTAGTGAGGAGCATTTTGGTTTTATTAAAGCTTTCGACTGTCTCTTGTGCTAAGGAAGGAGACTGTCTTCTTCAATTAGTAAGATCAGGCGGTTCCTCGGGAGACAAAAACAACAAACCCCATGGCCATAGCTGGGCTATGCGCAGCACTCACGTTTAGGGGTCCTTTGCTGGAGAAAATCTTTGAGACTGTCTTCAACATAGGTGTTAATAATTCAGCCCTTTCTACTGTTGCAGAATGGAGGTTTCTTAGGATAATGCCTCGGCCTTTGCCGATAGTACATACGTAGAGAGAATCGGGATGCAAGAGTTTCGAGTGCAGTGACTGTGTCTTTCTCTACGGTGTATGGTCACCTTTTGTCTTCAAACTGCACCTGGAGAGTTACTCTGGGTATTAACATCCTTTTTATTAGAAGAAGATGTAAAACAATGGTGGATGCGCCTATGCATGGGCACTGCTTCTGCGGAGGAAGTCCAGATTGTGAAAGACTTCCGAGATGCGTGGCGATGTATGTTTATCCCCAAGTCGGCAATGAAAGAAGATATGCCAGAAATAAGAAAGTTTAAAACGAAAGAATAGACTGCTACACCGAGGAGTAGTATTATCTCTCCTTGTTAAACAGAAGTCAAAAGGGTTGGTTGACTCGGAGTTATTATCTCTATGGTTCATAGCGGGGGCTTCTCTCTCCAGCATATGGAACAAACATTTACAAAAACGAATAGGCGAGGGTGAAAGGAAGAAAAAGACTTCTACTCACCGCTGAGGCGCTGCCGGGCACGACAGAGAAATGCATGCACCCTGTCGCAGTGGGCGCCTCAGTTATGGGGAACTCGACACAGTTAAAGAAAAGTTTTTCATATGTATATATATTTACTTATTTTTAGAATAACAAGAACCTTCTACCTTTCAGGATGCCTAATGCACCGATTTGAATGCCTTCTATGAGCAGCCCAACGCTTGGTCTCGAGATACAACCCCCCTCCCTCCCCGCACCTTGAAGAATTGGAGAAAAAACAGGCGAAATGCTAATAATAAGTAAAGCACAACAATCAACTAGCGTGTTTGGAGAGAAGGAGGCACTAGCGAAGAGCAGGGGCGGGAGTTGGCGGATATAATAATGTAACAACATCAAAGCAAACAATGCTGTTCCCTTCTTCACCTTTGCCAGTTGCCTGAGTGCTTTAAAAACTCAGCAGTCTATTCGCCCTTTGACTTCGCAGGGGCGTTTTTGCATATCCCAGTGCATACCGACGACAGACGCTATGCATGCATGCACTCATGCGGAGTTTTATTCAGCCAGAATATGCAGGGGCACTCGTAACATATTTTTAAATGAAAACAAGCATCATTTAATGCTTTAGTGTTTTTGCAGCTGGAGTTGGAGAAGACCCAGCGTAAATAGAAGCCCTACAGAGTTGCGCGCTCCTTCCCTTCTTTCAGCATTTTCTCAATCTCGCATTGAATCATCGTAACTAAATATATTAATTTCTGGATTTGCCAGAAATTAATATATTTAGTTACGAAGATTCAATGGGTTGTGTTGTTGTTGTCCCTCTAGCGAAACTACTCACGAAGGAAAACTAACAACAACTTGTTTTAATAAACAGAAACTGAACGAAAATATGCATGAAGACAAACCCTTTATCTTAACAACCGCTGCCAGTAGCAGAGCGGTTGAGCTACAAACAAACAACTAACTAAACTTTGCAAAGACTAAATCTGCTTAAAAGATAGATCGCGGTAAACTATATCGCAGCCAACACCTTGAAGACCACCAAGGAATCGCCTCGAACACAAGTTGCTTCAAAGACAAAGCATAGAAGCATCGAGTATAAGACGGGCGGCTTTTCTTTTCACTGTTTGTTGGGGAGTCAAACACTCACAATATTATTTGCATTGGGATGTTGCACTTATAAACGCAATATCAATCTTTTGATATTCCTGAAGAGGAGGATCGAAAGCTTCTCTATTAATACAGATACTCACATATACACACTGGCGAGATAGTGCTAAGTGAGTGTTAAATAAATGCATGCATCTTTAGCTTGTGCTCTTAGAATGGTTTGCATATACTTTCATATAGGGGTAATATGCAGTATGTGCTGCAGCAAGATGTGCTGCAACTCAAGACGTTATGCTTCCTCTCTCGCTAGCCCAGGTCTGTTCCCAGGCTGCAAGAGACCGGAGCGAAGACAGCTGATAATAGGGAGCGCTTACCTTAACCAATAAACCTCTTCAATCTTCTTGGCCTTAATGCGAAGCCGGCGTTGTTGCTGTTGCTGTTGCTGCTGTTGCTGTTGCTGTTCTCTTCGTTGTTGCTGCTGCTGCACACAGGGGCACACTAAGGGCAGAGCAGCAACTTAACGATGACGTGCGAAAGGAACAACGCAAGTGGATTTTATAACAAACCAACAAAAACTGTAGCTAAATATATTTCTCAGACGAGTGCTGCAACCCCAGAAAAAGAAAGTAGAAAGTGTACAGAACAACGCACAAACAAAATCCACTAACAGTCTTGTTAAGAGGTAAGTATATAGACGTATGTAGCCAGGAACCATTGAAGGCTGAAAGATAAACAAAAGTTTAACAAGTGACAAGGGTTTTATTGCATGCATCTAACCGGGGGATGGGGCTGAGGTTCTTGAAGTACTGTTGGCTTGCAGCAGAAAAGCTGCAGCTAAGCGCAGCCTTTGTTCTTTTTTGTTGTGGTCTCACCCCCAAGACCCTGTGCTGCTGTAAACAGAACATCTTCTATGAAAATGCTTAGATATCTGTTTGGGTTTTATATCTTTTTGAACACTCATATACTTGTTGGTCTATGAAGAGCTAGGTTATTGCAGAGGCCTCTGTATTGCCTCTTGCAAAAACAATAAATTCTCTAGGTGATACTACCGGGGGCTCGCTGTTCTATAGGTACATTGAACAAAAACTGAAGGTTTATTGCTTTCTTTATGCTGTGAAGATTTGTCTAGTTGCAGTGCTGCACAACTCTTCCTATACGCCATCCAACAAGCTAGGGGGCCCCACAGGGTAGATGTTGCGGGGTTAGGGAGAGGATTATGAGGGATTATCGCTTGGCTAGCTTCAAGTAGAAGACGAATGAATGAAAATAAACAAACTAATAAGAGTCTAAGCCCATGTTTTGCTGTCTGCTGAGAACGTGCAGCTGTTGCAACAGGCCGGCCTCCACCTGGTGTAGTAGTAGTGGTTAGTAGGAAATATTCAGCGTAGCTGGCGATAAAAACGTAGTAACTGCGTTTATATTGAGTTATAATTAATCAATTTGAAAAGAATATTAAAAATAAATATATATTCTTCTGAGTTGCAGAGGAAGAACTTATTAAATGACGGTGGTCTGAGCCGCATGGCGGCCGTAGTGTGGAAGAGATAAAATTTGAAGAAAAACAGGGCGGTCTCGGGAGAAACTTGTGAATAAAAATATATTTCTGAATAAAATAAATTAAAATAAACAAAAAAACATTCATTTTTCGTCTTTTTTCTCCCTCTACCTCCTACCAGTCTACCCCTCAGCCAGCTGCAAGCTCTGTCCGTGGGGGGTGCCTATAGAACAGCAACACGAGAAGGCAGGCATAAACTAGTGTTTATTAGGGGAATTTTTAAGGGGTTTTTGTATTATTGGTTGGTTTTAATGTATTATATTTGATCTCTGCCTTCTTTTCTCTCTTAAATAAGCTCTTAAAAGGCATTTGTCTTTGTTCTCTCTCTGGCGTCTGTTGCTGTTGGTTCGGTGAGGAGAGCTGTCGAGACACCGCAGCGCCTAGGGGAGTTTAGCATCCTTTGGAGGGTATTCTTTTGATTTAATCTCTTTATCATTGCATTAATATTTGCAATAGTGCAATTAAAGGTCTTTATATACAGGTTTTTATTTTCTTTCACCCCCCCCGCTGCAGCAGCAGCAGCAACCACCGGGCGGTTCCTATGACTTGAGGTTTAGTTTGAAGCCTTAAGAGGCCCTGTAGCGAAGAATTTTGAGCATTTGAATAAATAATTATTATTCTTTATTATTTCCTTTTCTTTTAAAGAGCCTGTTGATCCCTGCAACCCCACAATAAATCTGCAGGAGGCGCCCGCTCTCAGTTCTCCCTACATCAGCCTCTCTTTCTACTCAGGTGTCTGTACACTCGAACCCTTAATAATAGCAAATAAATCGAAATGACTCAAACGCATGCATCGGGTGCAGCAGCAGCAGCTGCAGCAGCAGCTGCTGCTGCTGCTGTTGCTGCTGCTTCATCCCCCAGGATCAACCCCCCAGCCTCAGCCGACAGGGAGACCGACGACGCGCTGCTGCTGCTCACAAGAGAGTCAGCACTGCAGCAGCAGCAGCAACAGCAGCAACATATTCATCAACATCAACAACTGCTACACCAGCAGCAACAGCTAAAACAGCCCCAGCTGCAGCAGCAGCAACAACAGCAGCTGCAACTCGTCCTGCAGCAGCAGCAGCAACAACAGCAACAACAGCTGCAACAGCCCCAACAGCATTTACAGCTGCAGCTGCAGTTGCAACTGCAGCAGCAGCAACATCAGTTGCAGCTGCAACATCAGCAGCAGCAAACCGGCACAGACCCGGAGATCAGGGCTTCTCCTGCTGCTGCTGCTGCTGGCGGTACAGCTCAAACAAATGAAGCAGAAGCAGAAGCAGCATCTGCCTCAAGAACCCCCAGGCACATCGCAGGGCCTCCCCCTCCAGCCTGTCACCTGCGGCCTCAGTTCGTAAAGGTTAGTTGCAGCAGCAGCAGCTGCAGCAGCAGCAGTTCGCTGTACAGACAAACACTGCAGCAGCATGCGCCGCGTCTTCTCGTTCTATTTTAATACTTATATCAAATTCAATTTGCTGCTGCCGCTGCTGATACTGATACTGCTATAAGCTGCTAATCCTGCAGCAGCAGCAGCTGCTGCTGCTGCTGCCGTTGCTTAGCAGTTGTTTTCTCCCCCGTGCTGTTAACTAGAAGTGCTGTTTTTATGCCTTTTATATATAAATATATAAATGTATAAATATATAAATGTATAAATACATATATAAATGCATATATATGCATGTACATATATATATATATATATATATGCATATCTATGTAGTTATGTCTATATAAACACACACACACACACACACACACACACACATTATATACATATATATATATATATATAACACAATATACATATACATACATATATACATATATATATATATGCATTTATCTACATATATGTGTGTGTATATGGCTACACTTATTTATGATCTTTATGTAGACACATACATACACACACACATATATATATATGTATATATATATA